AAAAACTCCTACTCAGGTACTGCCTGCCCTATCAGTTTCAATACAGTAGGTTCTCTTTTTATGAGGCATTAAAAGACCCAACATCATCGCAACATACCAATTAGTCTTTGATCACATCACCAACACAGCTAATCCTACAAATTACTGTCAAACTGCTGGTAATTTTTTTTTAACAGGAACTCATCAGCGTTGTGTTGCAATGTTCCAGTATTGATTGAAAGTTTGCTGCATGAAATTAGCAACAGACTCACTTCATAGGAATTTAACTAAAAAAGTCATATTTCACATGACTACTTTTGAAGTGTGATTTCCTGACAATGGCAATTTGAATGCTAAATTCTTGCAGTCTGTTACCTTGATAAACAGGCAAACATTAAGCAATTTTATTTTGTTTCTTAGAAACAGATCAGCAATTACCTTGTTTTATATGGGAAAATGGAACTTGAAAATAATTCACAAACTATTCTAGTTAATTTGAAGTGAAAGTTGCAAGTTGCATTCAGCAAGCTGTCAATCATTATTTTCACATCACAATGCAATATTCTAGAGTTCCCATCGGGAGGCAATCAGTCTGACTATAAATTTCTACAGTCAAACGTTCACCAGATGTTCTTTTGATGGCAACCTTGCAAACTTCTGCCTCAACATTCGTATTTGATGACAGTCTGAGTCCAGCAAGCTGCAACCTATGTGAGCAGGTTGAAACTTTCAATTTGAATATGCTGGAGTAAGTTCTCAAGCTCTGGTTTTCATTTTGCCATATAAAGTCAGGTAAGACATACTCAGTTTCAAATTGACAGAATGATATTGCCTAATATTTGCTGTTAATCAATAGACTGCGATGAAATAGTTACAGGCTTAGCTCCAAATTGCCAAACTGTGAATTTCCCTTAAAAATTCAAATCTGTCCTGCAAGGTTATGGCTTACACTTTTAATTTTGAAGCACGATTCCTGGTTTTGCTAATTTAACGAAGCCCGTCACTTATTTCTCACAGTCTCTCAATAAACAGGCTGGTGATGTCTGACTGAATTTACTGTTTCTTTGAAACAGAGCTGGTATTACCCTGTTTTATACTGCAAAATGAAAACGGCAACTTGGAAACTTGCTTCCGCAAATTTGATTGTGAAAGTTGCAACTTGCTTGTACAGCTTGAAACTTGCTCATCTCAAACTGTCAATCAAATACCAATGATGAGGAAAAAGTTTGTAATCAAAAGTATATCCAGTTTGACTGTAAGCATCTGAGGCTTTATTTTTGGCTAGAAAATTAACTTTCAAGCTATCAAATTCAAAATTTTTTACAACAATCACCACAGTAGCTAATTATTTTCCTTATAGTGTTGTTGACACTAAAGTTTTGAAACTGATACAAGTGAAAACACACCTGGTCAAAACAAAAAAATTATTGGTCATGTGATAGAAAGTTTTAGTCATTTCTGTTTAGGATAAGTAAACCATTATTCACTCACATTGTGACCCCTTTGAATCCTCCTAGAATTTATTACACTTTCATCCTGCTTGTTTGCCACTTGGGGAAATTCCTCATTCCTCACGTGGGTTAATAACTCCTCTGATTTTTGCTTTGAGGGTTTTAAAGTAAGTCTTAAAAGCACCTGTGACAAAAGCAATTCAAAATATCAGAAATCTTGATCATTGTCCAGAATAAAATAAAAATACCTCTGAAATATAATATTACTGAAAAGGTCTGAATGTTGCCCTCATTTTCCTTGTTTGATATTGGATGAATGGACTCAACAAAGGAATCTTCAAAAGTGACCAAAGTACATACAAATTAATGCAGACACGTTAATTTTCACTTTCTTAGTCAATCATATCAACAATGGATAAACTTAACAGAATAGCTGGGTTAAGTTAAATGCTAGAGGGGCACTATGGAAGTAAAGTGTCTTGCCCAAGAACACACAATACAGCACACTGGTCCAGGCCAATGCTCAAACCCAAATGTCTGATCCACAGTGTAATGTGCTAGCTATTAAGCCACCAAATATTATAGTCACAATTATAGAAAATTAATCTATACTTACACTCTAATATAACAGGATCAGCCTCTTTGAAAGCTGATGTTGCTCTGACACCTCTTTCGATTGCTTGGGTAACCTCAAGGTTGGTGTGATCATTAANTCACTTTCCTTTTTTTCTCCCAATGCGGGTGCTGACTGTTGGCCTTGTAAGTTGTCAATTTTTTCTGTAAGAACAAGTTTTCACTGAAGTGCGTCAAACTGCCCTTCGTGGTCGGAACAACTCGCTCTAGCGTTTACATGAGACAGTGGCGTGGTGGCTGGAGTTGATCGGCTCCTCGATGAGGAGGAAGATGGCACAATTGAAGGCAAGAGAGTGGAGGCGACTGGCTGATAAACTGGCGAGGTCTCTTCTGAATCACCATTACTGTCAAGCTGCAAATCACGACGGATATGATTTTCAGATCGAGATCTCTCGATGGAAATCCGCGGACGGTCTTGCGCTCGAGGAACGACTGCAGTTGTCCCTGGAGTTGTCTAAATATTCAAAGAGCAAAACGAGTGAATTGCTGACCTGTCTTACTGACCTACGTTTAATTAATACGCGTAAAAGCTTACCGTTCGACGGTGAAAGTGTCTAGACGTTAGCGGTGACTCGGGAAGCTCGTCAAAATCAATCCCTGCATTGCTCCATCTGTTTCTGTGAGACATATTACAAAACTACGGAGGAACTTTTGGTTAAAGACTTGCTTCAACAAAGACGTGACACTTGGACGAAAGAAGCTTTAAATTTGAAGTGACGCTCGAAATCCCGCCGATTATTTTAATATCCAAGAATTCGAATTACACAAAACTTCGCGCGAGGGCCTTTAGGGATTACCTGCGCATGCACTTCCGAAAATTTGCAAAGTTTTTTTTGCGGATCGGAGTGGAGCGGCAAATGTTACTGTAATTTGCGTCAGTTCTCGTCATTTCTTAGCTCAATATCTTTCCTCAATTAGAAAATGAGGGAAAAACAGTTATTACTTCAGTCACTGTGATGACTTTGTCAATAGAGGTACACGATCGAGACCGTCCCAAACAAATTGCAAAGAGAACGGAAATTGCCTCTGAAGGTGACATTAACAGTGCTAGCTAAGTTGAGAGAGATTCTGAAGTACACTGTTGGAATCCAACGATAGTTTTGAGGATCACGAGGAATGCCTCAATGCATATTTAGCCCTGTCCCTATCCCTTTTTCTATCTTTTTTATTTCCTTTTAACACAATGGCATTTCTCTTCTTTTCACAGACTAATGTGGGACATTGGCTTGGGTTTTTACTAATAAAATACGAATAGTACTGCAGAAGTTACACAATAAGGAAACTGAATAGATCATACAAGGGGGGACGCGAGTAAAAAAGCGGGTGACTATAGGGTTCATATGATGTTGAACACATTTGTCTCTTTTGTCTAATATTTGTCCTTGAATGAAATATGGCTTCACTTCAAACAGTATTTGTCTTACATTTATCAGGAACAAATATGATAACATTTTTGTCACACATTTGACTTCTTTGAGACCAGGACAAATGTAAAGTCAGATTTGTCTCACATCTGACCTAGAGCCAAACTTTGGTAAAATCCATTATTTCATCCAGTGTTAGTTTTAAAAACATTAATAGATTGGGTATTGACCCTCGAATATTCTGGAAGTGTATCAAATGTTCTTGAGGCTCTGAAGCGCTGATGGATGTATGTCCCAAAAGTGTTTTTCAATAGATGATTTTCCTTTGAAATCGTACAATTTTTAAGATTTTCATCACAAAGTGACGCAGTTTCTGAGCGTCAATTCTAGTAACCAACAATTTTAGGAGGTAAATATATCACACGGGACTCGTAAATTTAGGAAATTTGCTCTTACTTGTCTCAATGGTCGGTATCATTTTTAGTGTTGTATTGATAACTCCGAACGCGCCCGGCTGCGCTTCGAGCAACTCCTCTCTTGTGCTTTCCAAACTCCCCGGGTGCGACAGAGCTGAATAATGAGATGCTACGTCAGCGGGTATGCGGTCAACAACGCGGGCTCAAGTATCCTAAGTCTAAAATTTAGCGAAATTAGCGGAAAATAATAAGGGCTAACTTTTAAAACCGAGGAACTCTGTTTTCGTCGAAAGCACTTTCCTATTTCCAAAGGTTTAAAGGAGAAAATTAATTTTTTAAATTTTTCAGGGGGTGTATCAAATATTTGGAAGTTGTTCTGTAAAAGAAAAGCGGCAAGGAAAACGACGCCTCGAAGCAACAGAATAGGAAATCAACCATGCGAACGACTCAAAATCGGTGTTTCCGCGGCAAAACCTGGCGCATGCGTATACGTTATTCAGTTCTGTCCCCGCGTGCACTATAACTCGAAATAGGCATCGGAGGCACATAAATCTTTAATAAATCTCGGATAAAATATGAATATCCGGAGATAAATAAAAAAATGTGCGGTGAGCTGAAATATACATAAGTGAAAAATAGAACTTGCTGCGTATTTATAAAAGATCATTATCTAAAAATTAAACTATGTACTTTTAATCTATGAACACCAACAAAATCTAGGTTACTTCTCACATAGACAGCAATTCCGCCTCTTTTTCCTCAACACCACTCTTGACCAGTTCCTGTCCCGCCTGAATGTGTTTTAGATAGTTATGCTGACAATAGATTCAGGTTTATATGGCTCAAGGTGTGTTTAGGAGGCGACGCAAACATCAATAGTCGTTCTTCTTTAAATGATCTTCGAGAGTACAGCAGCTCTAAACCAGTTCTTTTGTTTTAGTTGGGCTACAAATGTTCGTAAATAAAAATTTTGAAATAGCAAACTCGCATTTCGGGCTTTGCTGACTTGTTGATGAGCA